GGAGGAAGTAGCATGATCATCCACTTCTAACATATCACTCTGGCTGCTGACGAGATAAGAGATCCGAGTGGGACAAGATTGGAGGAAGGAACAAGAGTTATTTCGAAGTCCTCCACGAAGATGACAGTCGTGAGGCCAGGGAGTGGCCGAGGAGATGGGGAAGAGGAGACAAATTCAAGATGCGCCACATTGGTGACTGGTGTTTGTTACTGAGAGCACGTGAGGTATTTGACTTCTATCTAGTGTTAGGTATTTGACTTCTTTCTAGTATGAACAACTGGGAGGACATAGTTGTTTCCTGCACGGGGGATGCTGGACGGAGGAGCGGGTTTGGGGGCAGAGTCATGAGTTCATGATTGTTGTCTCAAATGACATTGTAAAGAGTAGTCCTGGCACCCAGTTGCCCTACTAAGAAGTTGGGCTGCTCCAACCTCCCGCCAGTGGCTTAGGAGGGTGTCCGTGAAGCCAAGAATTTATTTTAAGTTTTTTAAAGGTTGTATTTATTTATTTGAGACAGAGCAAGAGAGGAGCGTATGAGCAGGGGGAGCAGCGGGGAGAGGGAGAGGGAGAAGCAGGCTCCCCGCTGAGCAGGGAGCCTGATGTGGGGCTCGACCCCAGGACACGGAGATCATGACCTGAGCTGAAGGTCGGCGCTTCACCGACTGAACCCCCCAGACACCCTGAAGCCAAGAACTTAAATGGTTTTCCCCAAAGGAATCTGTGGTTTAGCTATAGGACGGCAAACCTAGATTGGAGAAAGATCAGGTACGTGTGGTGTGGGAGGTTTTCGGGAGCAGCGGCGAAGAGTGCACGCTCACTGGCCTAGTGGCAGCTTGCCTCCTGCTGCCCGGCCAGGAGCGCCACTGCCAGAGACGCTTCCCCCAAACTGTCCTGTGTCCAGTCCTCCTGCCCCAGCTGCCAGCACCTGCTCTCCCTTGCCCTGGCTCCACACCCTGGATTTGGGCACTGGGGTGTGACCCTGCTCTTCCCTACTCCTGTGGACCCTCAGCCACTTCTAGAACAGCCGCCTGCCGCAGACACTTGCATTTGGGAAGCTGCTGTCAGAAGTAACTCCTTACGTGGGGGAAATCGCTCTCGTTAATGACTGGCAGGGGCGGAAGCTAGGGCACTGCAGGAAGCCCACCCACCCCAGGCTTCTGTACACCATTCGGACTCTAGAACAGCAATTCCGGTTTAACTGTCTTGTCCCTGAGGCAGTTGGCATGGTGGGGCTGCTGCCCACCTTCCCTGGCCCCTGCGTGCTGCTTCTGAGCCCAGATTGTCTGCAGATCTGCTCGTCTTGTGTCGCGGTCCCCTCTCTCAGTCCTCGGTGCGTGTCAGCGCTCAGAGTTTGGGAGGAATGCAGGAAAGGTAAAACTTGCAAGACTGGGGTTTGCCTTCTAGTCAAAGAACTCTGTTTCTCCGCTGAACGGGGGCATCAGAGAGGCTGAGATTACTTATCCAAGGGCATTTGACTTCTCTCCGTGTCCACTTCATTGTAGCAGGTGGGCCGTGAGGTCCCTCTTGGAACCTATAACATCAGCAGACAGGTAGCAGAGAAGGGAGCAGAGGCATTCAGTTGTACATAAAGTCAAATTTCCCAGAACCCAGGGTGTAGGGCCCAGTGTGTTCCCTCCCCGTGACGGTAACCGGATCCTATGGGGGAAGGACACACTGTAAGGACAACATGGGTATTTCCACGTCACATCGTAGGATTTTGTAGAAAATAGTTTTGTTGCCGTCTTAGCCAGGGCGGCGTGGTCCCCCAGGAGCAGGCTTTCAGAAGGGCTGTGCTGTGAAATGGCAAAGACCGAGGGGGGTTTATGCATTGCAGAGGCCAGTGGGCAGTGCGGGCAAAGGGTAAGTAAAGAAAAGGGTCTGAACAGTAAACAGTAAACAGGCTGGTGAGATCAGCTTCGGTCTAGAATTTGTCAGCTCAGAGAAGTGCTTTCCAACGGGCTGTGGCTCCAGCCTGCAAACGATCGTGTGTCACGCAGGTCTCTTAAGAGGCAAGTGCTGGGAGCCCAACGCATAAGAGGGTCCAGGACAGGCCCTCTTTCCAAGAAGCTGGACCAGAAATTTTCCAAAATGAATCCTGATGTAAGGAAGAGTAAGGACGTCTCCATGGGTCTAGGAGGCGGGGTGAGGGCTGCAGCCTTCCTCTGCCAGTGGGGCTTAGGAGAGGTGACCTCTCTGGAGAGGGCCGGGGGTTCATCCTGAGGCGGAGCAAGCCCATGGACTTACTGATATTTTATGAACCAAGTTTTCTAAAAATGCCTGTGAATTTCAGCAAAGAAAATGTCCCCTGTACACATTAGGAACATTCTCCTGTAATAACTTTGAGCCCCTGTCCCCATCCCTGTTTTCTCACGTATTGATGTCACCATATTGTGACCCAAGAAGGTGGAAAACAGGAAGCCTGGAGACAGGACCAGTGTCTTCAAGGACGGAACCAAGGGCAAATCGGATACTTTAAATAAACACTTAGAATTCCAGTTTTCAAGGGATTAGAGCATATTCTCTCTTTAAAGGACAGTTTAATGGGGTGGGGGTGTGGGGATAAGGATTTGTATCACCCCGTGAGACTCAACAGGGCAGGGCCACAAGGAAAGAGGGAGTTTTGGGGAGATGTGGACCTTTCCTGGGAAGATCTAATCACTTTGTTCGAATAAACAGAAGAGTACGGTGGGTGACCACACAGGGCTGAATGCCAGCCACTGAGATGGGGACGGGCCAACACCCTGAACCCATGCTGTGCGTGTGGAGTGGGCGCTTGAGGCTCAGCCGGGCGAGGGGCGCGCAGGCTCGCTGCTCACCGGGGCCGCATTTCTAATGTCCAGTCTAGCGACTTCAAGGCAGGGCAGCAGTCGGAGGGATTTGATCTTCAACCAAAAATTTTAGAAATTCTGCTACCTTTTAACACAGAAATGAGGGTTCTGTGCTGTGTTTGATTATAGAGAGTCAAAAAATAAAAATCCCATTCAACTCTGCCCTTTTCCCACGTGAGCCAGAGCTCCTGGAGCCACCGCCCGTGGCCATAGCCCTCGCGCCTTCTGTGGGTTTCACCTCAGTGAGGTCTGTGCGATGTTGCTTAAAACCTTCGGGTACTTACCCGGTGCGAATGTTGTTGAATTACTGAAACCATTTTATTTTTTAGATTAGTTTTATTTTATTTATTTATTTGACAGGGAGGTCAAAAGGAGGCAGAGGGAGAAGCAGGCTCCCCACTGAGCAAGAAGCCCGATGTGGGACTCGATCCCAGGACCCCAGGACTGTGGCCTGAGCCCCTCAGGCGCCCCAGAGTTCCTGGAATGCTGAGGTCACGGGGAGGGTTGGGGCTCTGTGCTGTGATCTGCTCCTTCTGGAAAGGCTTTCTGCCCTGCGTGCTTGGGTCCATGGGCTGGGAGTCGGGTTTTCCGCTGCTGCTTGGGGGCAAGGATGCCAACACGGTACAGAGTAAAGCGATATCATCCGAGGAGAGTGGAGCTAGGACAGGTGACCCCTGGAGGGACAACATGAAGGGTGCAGGTTCTGACTCCCCAGGGGCCTGCTAAGGGGCCAAGAACTTCACCAGCAGAGAAATAAGACCATTCGGCACGCAGGAATGTGCAAGATTTTGCTTCTCCTTCATGACCCTCACCGTCCACCTTTCCTTGAGGCTCATTCTGTGCTAATCTGCCCAAAGAAGGTGCATGTTTCTGCCATCTCTACGAAACCAGTGTGGAGTCCGGTGTTCGCAGAAGCGGCCGGTTGGCAGAGAAGCAGGAGTGGACGTGAGCTGTGCTGGGGTGTAAGAGAACAGCTGCCCTCACAGCGGAGAGGCGTTCGCTCTGCTCCTCTCTGCACACGGCCTTGCAGCCCTGAACTCTGGACTCCAGCCCGCCCTCTGCTGGGATCTAGCCTGCGGGGTGGGCTCCAGGGAAGAGGCGACTCCTGGCTCAGAGTCCGCCAGGCCCACCCAGTGCCCGAGAGCCAACTGGCTGCCTGATTTCCCTCCTGAGCGCCCACCCGCAGGCAGGGTGTAGACACGGAGCCCGCTGGCCCCCCAGGTGGACGGGGCCTGCAGCGCTGTGTGCATGCACACCCCATCTTCTCCGCTCACCTACTCTTGCGCATGGGCAAACACGCTCACTGCACAAACCCAGCCTGCCTTTCTCTTCCACAAGTACACTTGCACACGTGTGTACACACACCACCTCTTCACGTGTGCACACCTGCCTTTCTTCCTCCGTGTGTGTATAGCCACACACGCACGCGGCCGGCCTCTATCCAAGTGTGCACACACCTCTGCCCTCTCCTCCAAGGACACGCACGCCTGCACGTGCATACCTCCAACCCCCTCTCCGAGTAAACGCCTGTGCGCACAAGATCTACCCTCCTTCCGCCTGCATGAACACACACCCACACACTCATGTATGAGCACATGCACACACCTGGCCCCTCTCCCTTGCGTATACCCGCGCCCAAGCACTTGCCCCCTCCCCCCACGGCTGCACACCTCTGCTCCCTCTCGGAGTGTGCACGCACACCGGCACTAGCACACTCCCGGCCCTTCCCCAGGTGCGCGCACACGTCTGGTCCCTCGGAGTGTGCACGCACACCGTCACGTACACACCGCCTGCCCTTGTCCAAGTGTGCGCGCACACCGGCACGTTGCACACCTGTGGCCCCTTTCCAGGTGTGCGCGCACCTCCGGCTCCTCTCCAAATGCGCGCGCACCCCCGCCTCCCAGCGCCAGACCTTCCGCCTCCGTCCCCGCCCGGCGCGCACGCGCACCCGCACCCCCGCGCGCGCGCAGCCCATCCCCCTCGGGGCGCGCGGGCCGCACCGGCGGGAGGAGGAGGAGGAGGAGGAGGAGGAGGAGGGAGGCGAAGGCGCGAAAAGGCGCGCAGGCGCGCTGCGGGAGCCGGCCCGCCGCCCACGTCACGTCGCCGCGCCGCGCACGTCACGCCGCCCGACGCCCGCTCGCAGGGTGAGCCCCGCGCGCCGGCGCCTCGCAGGGCAGGGACCCCGGGGCCGAGCGCGCCGCCGGGACCCCGCCCGTGCCCGCGCGCCGGAGCTAGCCAGGTGCGGCGGGCCGGGGTCCCGCGGGGGGCGCGGACGCGCGGGCGCCCGCCCCGGTCCCGCCGCCGTCCCGCCGCCTGTGCGCGCCGGCTCCGCGGCTCCCGCGCCCCGGGCCCCGGGCCTCCCAGTCCGCGCCGCCGTCGGGGGCGCCCCGGCTGGCCGGGCGCGGCGGGGTCGCGGGCGGGCCGGGGCCCGGGGAGCGCCGGGGGGGAGGTGGAGGCCTGCGGGCGGGGCGCGGGCGGGGGCCGGGGGCTGGGGGCTGGGGCGCCGGGGTCGGGTCGAGCGCCGGGTGCAGGGGCCCCGCGGGCGCGGCGCGGGGTGGGGGCGGCGCTGACCTGACTGCCGGTTCCGGCGCGGGAGGCGCGCGCGCGGCGTTGGGGTGACAGGCCCGCGGGGCCGGAAGCCCACCTGTCACGGCGGCCGGGGGCGGCCGGCTCTTTGTGTGGGCCGGTGGGCTGTCCTCGCTGGCGGGGGGCGCGGGCGGGCGCCGGGGTCTGCGCGGGAGGGAGGGCCGGGGCCCCCGGGGGGGTGCCTGGGCCATCGGGGTTTTCATTCTTACTCATTTCTTGTTTCCGTCCTTCTTACCAGAAAAATCCGTTTTCTTCTGCGGAGGGCGAGCCCGGACAGCGTCGACGTCGCGGATCTGGTAACATGGCCAAAGATGTAAGTGCGGGGTCCGCGCGCCGGCCGTTGTGGCCCTGCGCCCGGGTGCGCCCGCGTGGACGGCGGGGGCCGGGGCCGGGGGCTCGCTGCGGGCACCGCTCACCCCGCGTGTTCGCGGTCGGCGGTGCGCTTAGGGACACGCGCACCTGCTGGCGCGGAGGCGAAGGAGGCAGGTCGGCGCTCCGCACTCGCTGTGGCCACGTTTTCCTTTTCCGTTTTTGTTTCTGCCTCAGAAAAACGAAATTTGGTGACTAATGAAATGTGAAAAGTCCTGCTTTGGCTTTTTCCGTATTTGTCAGTTTTAAGTTCGTTCCCAGAAGCAGGCTTCTAGGTCCCAGAGCGGTCTGTGGGCTGCGCCCCGCGGTTCTGGCTGCGCCGCGGGTCCCCTGGACATCTCCGCAGGGCGGCTTAGTACGCGTTGTTCAGAGCTGGATGCGGGTCCGCCCGCGCCCCGGGTGCCCCTGCCCGTGCTGCCCTGCAGCGGCTGCGAGCCGGACCACCGCTCTGCAGAAGGCCGCGCTCAGGGCCCCGCTGGGCACCCAGGCCTCCAGCGATCCTGCCGTCGGGCGCGGCGGGCGAGAGCACGCGCTGGCACCCCGCCTGCTGGGGTGTCAGTTCAGGTCAGAGTCTGTGTCCCATGGGAGCTGGCGGCATGAGCGCGGGCCGCATCTGCGGATGGCCGGTCCCGGCCCGGGTGTGTACCCCCGGGGACGCCCGACACGGGGTGTGTGCTCAGTAAAGGAGTCTGGGTGCGCGCGCTTTGGGAGCCGCGCTTGCGGACTTGGTTAAATGTGATCCGGAGGCCCTCTTGGAGCCCGGGGGACCTCTGCCGTCTCCTGCAGCCCGCACGTCCACAGCAGCAGCCTCTGCAGACTGCAGGGCAGCCTTTGGCGGCCCTCTGTCTGGTGTCCCTGGAGCTGATGGGGGGTGACACACTGGAGGGGACAGTGGGGTAACTGAGGCGGAGAAACAGCACAGAGAGGAAGGGCCTCCCGGTCCTGAGAGCTGGCGACATCGAGTGTAGCTGGAACCGGGTCTCACCCGGCCTGGTGGACGGGGCTGGAATGGGGGGTGTGGTCCAAGGAAGGGCGATAGGCTTTCTCTCTAGCTGGCTAGTTTTTGTCACACCAGGGGGGTGACGTCTGAATTTGGGAAGGTGACTCTGGTGGCCACTGTTGGAGGGGAAGCAGCCGTAGGTAATTTGGGTGGAGGCCCTCTGGTCTGAGCTAAGTGTAAGACCAAGCCCGCCAGGATGGGTTGGAGCTGAGCCTTGGGTTGAAGGGGGTGGGCTGGGACCCCAGCTTTACAGAGCTCTGGGGTCTCTGTGGAAGTCTGGAGGGGGCTGGAGGTAGGTTCTGGGGGTCACAGTGAAGGAGGACAAATTTAGGGGACAGGGACAGGTCAGCCAGGCAGGTTTTGGTGAGGAGAATCCGGGGAAATGGCGTGGTAGCTCCCTCCCTCCATCGGAGGCTCAGGGACGCCAGCGGATTTGGGGCGCTGGATGGCTTGAGCCTGTTCGCTGAGGGTGGTGGGGTGGTGGGCGTGGGCAGGCTGAAAGGGCAGGAGCCGCCCGTGAGGGAGAGGGGCAGCCAGTTGTAGAGGGCCTAGGGAGGGTCAGCAGGCCGGGGGCAGCGATGGCCTTCCTGACCTGAGTGGGGACCTGGGCAGGCATCTAGGCGCACAGACCGCTGCTGTAGGCTAACCCCGAGCCGTGTCCCGGTGGAGGGGCCTGATGTCGTCTGGGAAGGTGGGAAGAGCTGCGTTTTTCACTCCTGTTGTGGTGGGTCTCGGTTTAGAATTGACACGAGCCGGGCCCATGGCTCCTCTGTGCCTCGTGTTTGCCTCATTTGTCAGCATGTGGGGACGAGGGGGAAATGCTTGTTTTGTTCATGCGTCCATCCTGTCCGTCCTTTGCGGTTTGACGAGGGCCCGTGCCCGGCGGAGAGAGCGAGGTGTACCGTTTGGCTGCTCTCATGAAGCTTGCAGGGGCCAGGGGGCCTGGAGCGGTGTGGGTGGGGGGATGCTGGGGGCACAGAGGAGGCCCCGGGTGGGGGTGTTGGAGCAGGAGGGGAACCAGGGGCATGAGGGGGCCTGATGGCATGGGGTTGGAGGGGGCAGGGGTAATGGGGAGGCTGGGGTGTGGAAGGGCCGGGTGTCGGGGGTGGGGGGGAATCGGGTTTGCCCCAGGGGCAGGAGAGCGAGGGGGGTACCTGGAGGCATGGGGAGGCGGGGCAGGGGAGGCCGAGGGAGGAGGCCCCCGAGGAAGCTGCGCTCTTTCTCCTGCAACAGGGGGACAGGAGGAGCGTGCACGTGGGTGTGTGGGGCCTGCAGGAGCCGGGCCCGGGGCCCAGCTGCTCTGACGCGGACCGCACCTTGTGCTTTCTGTTGCTAGCACACAAATAAATATTTATTTGTGTTTAAAAGGGGTATCTAAACAAAACGCTGTCATCCCTTTGCTTAAAAAAAGCTTTGCATTTTCTAGCAACGCGTGAGAACAAGGCTGGTTCCGTGGTGATGAGTCGTGAGTGTTGCGTCCTGCAAGCGCGTCTCCACCTGGAGGTGTGCGTGACAGGAGCGAGTGGGCTCCCGTCAGGGGTCCTGGGGGCAGGACCCCGCCTGCCCCCCTGCTTCCCTGGCTTGACTCTGGCCTGACACACAGAGGGCCACGCGGCCTGGGGCAGTGCGTCGGCATGGAGGCCCGCTGCCTCCGTCTCCAGGAAGATGGCCGGGCCCGAGGGCTGAGTGGGCTGTAGGCCTTTGACCTTCGTTTGCAGGGATTGTGTTGGTGTAAGTGGGCAACGAAAAATTCAGACGGTAAAAATCCAAATTCTGTATTCGTAGCTGGTGTGGAGAGGAGGGAGCTCCGCTGGCGCAGAACAGTGTGGGAACGTGAGACCCCAGCGCAGTCACTCCCAGAGGTGGCTGTGAGCAGCGGTTTGGGGCTCACTTCCAGAACGCAACAGGAGAGGGATCCGGGGCAGGAGTTCCTTGGCTGTAGAGATGGCCACGCAGGGACGGCGCTCCCTCCTGCGGTCCGTGGGGGCCGACACCTGGGGCTCAGTGCAGCCAGCAGGGCACTGCCTCGCCTCCCACCAGCGCCCACGTGGGACCCCTGGCTCAGCCCTCCACCGATGAACGCTGTGGGCAGTGTTTCTGCAGTTCCTCGGAGAGAGTCTCGGCTGGGCAAGGCACACGACGGCGACATTTCAGTTGCCACCCTTGGACTGCGTGGGTCTCTGCTCCCACAGCCATGGACCCGTCCCTCCACCAGGGGGTCTCATCACCCCGAGAGGTGAAAAATGTGGATTATTTACTGATCGATGAAGCTAGGTATCGGAATTCCGTTTTGTGCCAGCCAAGGCTCCCCTGGACACAGATCACAGTCGGGAAGGCTCGCCGGGCTGAGACGACAGTCACGTTTTCAGCACGGACAAGGGCTCCAGAGATGAATGTTGCCTTCAGAGAAAATACAGAAATTGCAGTTGCTTAGACATGCTCGTGTGTTAGAAATTGCCCTTGGGAGAAGTAGGAAGGGGAAGGCCGCTGACACGATAGTGTACCTGGACGCGCGCCGGGTGTGCGCCCGTGTGCTGTGTGGGTGGTGCGGCCCCCAGAGGGGGCTGCGGATTTTCTCAAGGTCACAGGCAGAGCCCAAACTCCTCGTGAGCCGCTAGAACGTCCGTGTTCTTGTCCTCGTCCGGGACTGCGAAGGTTTGTAAAGAGTAGGGAGGTAGCCTGTTGTCGGTAAGATCACGGAGATGCTGCTGCGGGGGGATGTGGGCAGCGGCGGCGCTTCCTGGGGTCGGCCCTGCCCCTGTGGGCTGCCGGTGTGCAAGCCCGAGGGCCCCCTGCCTGCGGGGAGCCCGGTCGGGCCGAGGGCAGTGCGGTGGCAGCTGCTGGAGGAGGGCGTCTGGGTCCCTCTGCAGATGCATGGCCTCCGTTTCGAAAGCTGGTCTGTGACTCCACTTTGTTTCCTGTGAGTTTATGGAAAATTCTCTGAACGTGTCGAGAGCTGGAGGCCGAGGAGGAAGGCGTCCCGTCTAAGCTTTGGAGGGATGGTGGCGTGAGGCCTGCTTTGACACCCCTGTGAGACTAATGAGCTTATCTAAAAATACACGTACTGAGTATCGTTTTTCAGACCCGGACCTCGAGGCTGAAACCGGCTGACGCAGAGCGCGCGGTTTCCTTGGGTCTCGGCTGGAGGGCGCTGCGGGATGCGGCTCCGACTTGCGCAGCCGTGGCGTCTCGTCGGACGTGGAGAGGCCATCAGTGAGCGCACGCAGGTCACCAAGTGAGGGGGCTGTGGTGGCGGGCTCGCTCTTGCCCGGGCTTCTCATGGTTCAGAATTCGGGGTGCACTGGGCAAACTGGGATGGGGTCCCAGGCAGGAAGCTCGGCTCGATTGAGGGGTCAGCGTGGAGCGTCTCGCCATCGAGCAGTGTCGGACGAACGAATTCCTGGGTAAAAGGGCCCTCACAGAGTCAGCTCTGTGCTCTCGGAGTGTCTCCGAGGGCTGGGGAATGGGCCCGCAGTGTCTGTGCCCGGCCTGGCTGGCGGTGTGACTTCTGGGGACACCTTCGTCACAGACCACAAAGCCACCTTTCTGAAAAGCTCTTCTCTTTAGGCGTTTGAAACGCCCTCCCACTCTTCAGTGGAGCAGTCAGGAAGCTCTCGTTCGGAATCCGTGCCTGGCTTCTCCTGCACTCAGCTTCGAGGCGTCTGTGAGGAGGGACTGGGTCCCCGGGGAAGCGCGGGCGGGAGAGCAGGTGCTTGCTGGGGGCCGGTCGTCTGTGCCATGGGGTGTTGGCGCGGGCTGAGTTAGAGGTGGGACCCCCCCCAGGCACCTTCTGGCTCAGTGTCGTGACATGCCAGGGAGCTGCACGCGCTGCCCGCCCGGATGCCGTGCCGATGTGCCCAAGGTCCCCCGTTCCCGTGCTTTCTGGCCAGCTCTCAACCTTGCACCGACCTGTGATGACATCCGGGGCGAAATCCCGGACGTGC